ATATCCAAAGGTGACTAAATTATTGTGTCAAGTTTGATTCGATACTTATTGATAAATTTTTGTATGGTTTTTTTTGTCAAAAAAGAAATTTTTCATTACAAACATTCATATTTAAGATCAATATTTCCTTTCACATGCGCATAACTTTCAAAAGGTTCCTTTAAGTTACTACCTAACGCACAGTGGAGTGAAGAAAATCCTCCTGGGCAGTGTATCAAAAGAGCACTTTCGCTCGAGCACTCACACCCACTTATTCAAGGGAAAACCTTGGAAATTCAGCACCATTACTGAAATTCCGAGGATGAATTGAAATACGGAATATCTTCGGATAGGACCAGGAGATAGGGATGTGCAGAAAAAAAGCTCGTTTAGAACGGGGTCCATTAGATGAACTCGATCTGAAGTGAATTTTAAAAAAATCTCGGCGCTTCTATTTTCTGTTCTCATTTCGTTTTTCAAAAAAAGAAACGCCTTGCGGTCGTTGCCAACTTTCCGGTATGATGAGGAACGTGTAACCCTACAAATTGCGGGGGTGGAAAACGGCCGACGTTCCATTAAAATTTATAAACTGGAAAAGGTCGCCCCCAACGAAAATATTTTAATCTCTTAATCTGCGAACAGTTATTTTCCTTTTTTGTTTTTTTTTATTTTTTTATGGTTGTGGTGTAAACAATGAAATTGTGTTTCAACATTTTAATCTAAACTCGATTAAAATTTCGAAATTGTTGATTTAAAATAAAAAAATACTAATCGCCGGCCATAGGAATCGAATCGAAATAAATCCTCGGTGAGAGGAAGCAGAACATTTCCACAAATTACCAAAATACAGTTTGTTTAAGCGATAAACGAGTTAATGTAGAACATGCTGTGGTTAATTGACAGAAATTCACTGAAACCGTGAAATTAATAGTTTTAGTGTACCTATATCACGAGATCACAATTAACAATCGTTGTTTACTTTAATGAATAGTATGAAATAGACAACGAATTTAAACTAATGTAGAGATAGATAATTCGTTTAACCTTATTAGAAAATAAATAATTATCTTTGTTTTTTTTTAAATTTCTAATACGATAGTTATTTGCAATTTATCGTTGACTGTTGAAGAATTATAGTCGTATCATTTACAATTTGCTTTGTTCAATTTTGACGATGTTTCTTATTGGATTTGCTTAACATATTTTGTAAAATATTAACCCTGAACTTATAATTAACTATATGATATGATATTAAGTTACTTAAGTAAATATTCTAAAAGTTCTGAAGAGGTGCTATCGAGATACAATATGGTTTTAATCTTCTGAACAAGAAATTAGAGCAATCATTGTTACAGAATACATGTTATAAAGGATTAGCGACGAGTCATAAAGTATTGTAAAGATTTCTGCCGTGGAAGAAAACACAGTCAATACTCAGAAATTTCATATTATTTACAGTGATTTGATGGCAATAAGTGATTAGGAACTATACAATATATAGTAAGTAGTACGTTTAATGGCAGTGCTTAAAACATTGGGAAAGTTCATTCTACCTTTGCCAACATGCAATGTATTTTCCTCTGTTATTCAAGAGTTTCTTCAGATTTTTTCTAGTATCTATGTTTTGTATTTTTTTGCACAGGTCTCATTTTGATTTCTATTCTTCTCAAAATAGACAAGAGACAGAATAAGACACTAAAATAAACAGGTGAGGAACTGTTTGTTTTAGAGTCTTATTCTCATTCACTACTGTTGTTTTGTTTTGAATTATGTTTTCGTTACTTTCTGTTTAACTGTTTAAGATTTTTTCTAAAATTTCCTAACTTTCCATTTTCCTATTTGCTTTGGTTGGTAGTATCGATGACCTTAATGATCTAATGTAAGGTAAAGTTGGATAGATTTTTGAATTACATAAGGTACAGATACTTGCAAAGGTACTTTTATTGTTACATATTGTATTACGAAAGCATCCTCTATACTTTTGCTTTTGAGATGTAGCTTACGCACTAGCTAGCTGAAGCGAAATAATTTGTTCTTTGGAGAAATATTTTTAGTATTTACAAAATTCCTATCAATTACAGTGATTTGATGGCAAAAAATGATGCAAGAACAGTCATTAAAACTTTAGGAAAATTTATTCTACCTCTGCCAACATTACACATTTTTGCGAGCATTGTATTGTTATTAAAGAGCTTTTTCAGGTTTTCTTCTCTTTCTGTTTTTCTTCTGTTAGTATCTATATTTTGTATTTTTTGAAAATTTGCTTATGTTATTAAAGAGCTTTTTCTAGTTTTTTTTTGTTTCTGTTTATTACAAATCTCAACCATTATCAAATTAGACTATATAGGGAGACACTACTTAGATACTTCTTCAACAGTTTTACTTTGTATTTCTATGAATTTTGTGATCCTGCCAATCTAACGTAATCTTTTTTTATCAGGAAAAAATAAAGACCTCTTCTTGCTTTGTGCTTTTACATCATCCTGTTTCTTCTGCAATGTCCAACAGAGATACATAGAGATGAGTAATTTTAAAGTTTAAAGAGCAACGCAATCACGAATTTCAATATAAATATTCGTGTGTGTGTGTTCATTCGGTGCTATTAAGTGAGGACAGCATCTGTGTTGGATAGTGGAAGATAAATAAAGTATGTAAGCAACTCCTATTTCAATGGCTCCTTGCACAACTTTCACACCACTAGAACTTTTGTGCCATCTCATTGTCTGGTTTATAAAGACGACAGGAAGGACTGTCGACAAGAATACTAAAAGAGTGCTTCTTCACCTTACAATGTTCGATTTATGGCCCTATAACTACTTGCAGAGGGCTAAATTCTATAAATGACGTTGTGTTTCTATTGCTGTAACACCATGCCACTTTGAGATTATTTGACACGATTACTTTGTCGGTCAACTTGATGGACATCTTTACAGTTATTGATTCATACGTTTTCCAACCAGTATGATTCAAACCAATAGTAGTTTATTCCAATTACTCTCTATAATCTTTGTAAATGTCTAAACCGGTAAATTTTTGCATTTTCTTCTATTATTTTATATAAAATTTGATTTCATTAATATGAATTACTTTTGTTATGATTTAAGTTTAAAACTTTTCTGCGTTGATGGCATCGAAACAGCGTTCAACATTATTTATTATAACTAATTTTTTTAAGTTATTTGCTCTTAAATCTTATGATCCTCAAAAGACATTATCCAATACTATATTTATCCTCGTCAATAAATGAATGAATTATATATTCGATGCTTCGAAAACTCATTGCAAACCTGGAATTACTTCATGTTATGCCTGATGCAATCTCTAAACTTGGTGTTCTGTACTGTTAACTCTCAATGGTTGTCGTAATTCGTATTCGGATTCATCACCGACCTGTTAAACTAGCAATATTAATTAATCTTTATCTAATATTTAAATTTATTATATACTTCTTGGAACATAATGCAGGTTAATTTAAAATGTTTCAACATTTTCACTTTTCAAAAATCAGTAAACGTAAAAACTTAAGTGGCAGTCCTCATATCAGTTCTAATAAGTGTAATATCTTACAAGGTTAACATTTTTCTTTTCAATTCACCGGATTTAATCGCTTCCTAATCGATCGGTATTCATACTTTAATGGTGTAAAATTTTTAGCACCTGAGTACCCGGAATTTTCGTTTTCGTTTCCAATTCTTATTTCAATTTAGAAGAGTTCTTGTTACTACATCTAATCTGAATAAGCTTGTGTGTAGTTTAGGCTTTCTTTCAATCCATATGTACATATCTGATAAACAGTAGGTTGAGTTTTATTTTTGGGAAAACAATAATTTCAATCTTTTTTGTAATTTCAATTTTTGTTTTGGAACAATATTCAATTCAACAATGAACTTTGACCTTACCTTTGTCAAGCTTTCAAATTTCCTCGCTGTATTGGAAAAGTTGTTATAAAAGTCAACAAAACAAAAGGTCAGAATTATATTGTTTGAATTATTGAACACCGCAAAAAAGATTTAATTGGTACTTAAATTTAATGATATTTTATTTACTTGTTTATATTAATAAATAAAATAATGTAATCAACCTTGAATCACGGTTTGGATCACCTTCATACTCGTTTTTGAAACATATAAATAGCTATTATATTACGTGGAGATGCATTTAAATGTCAGACTTAAACGGAAGTAATTGCATTTTGTAAATGGAGCTCGTTATTTTTTTATGTTTACGTTGTTGTTTCAGTTCGAGTTAACTGCTAAGAAAAGAGCACGTTCGAGCCGTCCAATTAGCGGAATATCTAGAGGTATAAAAATTGTTAAGAAACGTTAAGGATATTAATGTAAATTTTACGGACGAAGTAAACGGAAAAACAAGAAAAATCTTTGCCGAGTAATTAAATTATTTGGAGCGAAATTACAAAGTCTGGTCGTAAACCCATTCGGAAAGTGGCATAAGTCACTGGGGTGAACAAACATGACCGTAAAAACTGTGGAGAAATATGCTCAGAGTTTAGATCCGGACGACTTCGTACTCGTTCTTTCGGAAGTTTTCCGCGTTTATCTTAAGGAGAGTTTGTGAGATTATTGATTAAAAGTTGAGATAAAAGGGGTAATTTACGTTAAAATATGGAGTATTATGGGTTTAAATCTTATTAAATTACTTTTTTTTTATTATTTTTTGTCTACACCCTGTATTATTCTTATTATTATTATTATAAAACAGTTAAGTCCTGTTTTTCTATGAGTAACGCAGGAAAACCCGCATTTTCAAATACATTTATTACTAGGCTCGTCACGCAATGGGGTTGGCCGTATTGATTTTCCCCCCAAGAAGCCAACTCACCACTCCTCACTATTTTGTGTGTGTAATAACTCGAATACATTAGGGGAGCGGAGAAACGGTTTTTTAAAAGGTTTCCCTACCTGTGTGTTAAATATATAAATACTATCCTATTTTGTGTGTTTTATGAATTAAAAATGTATATTAATAATAAAAATTTTATGAAAACTGAACTTTATACTGACCTCTTCACCTTTATAGTTGTGGTAACGAATCCATTTGGACAACCTTGGTCTCCAATATTCTAACATGTAAGCTTCGGCGAATTCAACTCCAAGACCATTCCCAAATCGACCAGCTGTTCCTGCTGCTGTGATCACATGGACTGTTTTTAAATCGATTTGGATCCATTCTTCTGGTTCTGTGGTTGCTTGCTTTAATGGGCACCATGCACCACCATGTTTTTCTGTACGTATACTAAAAATAAATATCAAAATTGTAATTAAAATTATTTTTTATTAGGTGTATTAATCTCATATTTTTTCTAATAAAGTATAAAGAAAAAATTGAGGTTGAAAGATCAATATGAGAAAATTTCAATAATTTAATTTTTTTACTTGGGGGTGGTAATCCCAAATTCCAATAATTTAAGGCACAAAGAAAGATGTCTATTACTGTCAGGAGTTGGGAGTTGGGCCAAAGAAAGACGGATTTGTTTCCGAACGAGTTTAAAGAATTGGAGCCTGTTAGCATCTTGTTTGTAACGTTTAAAATTTTGGAGAGAAGTGTTGAAATTAGGTTATTGGGTCATCTTAATGAGGTTAGTATTCTACTACAAAATCAATAGAATAAAAGTGTTACTACCCTTGGAATTATCCAGGATTATACTATACCAATAACTTTATGTTCTGACTTAGAACACTCCAGAATCAATATGTTGATGATTTTCAAATGTATTAAAATTTTAAAAGGAGATAACTTAAACTTTGCCCAATCAAATGTCTTTAATTATCTTTATTAATACTGAACGACGTAATTTCACCCATGAAGCCTCTAAACTTTGATTTGCTTCAGCAAGTTGATTTGGCTCTGTTTCTATTCAGTTTTTTTATGTCTATTATTACGTTAAGAGAATTTAATACAAAGCAAATATATCAACCAGTGTAAAAATGAAGCTGTTCTAAGTTCAAATTAAGCCAAATTATGTCGAATTAATGTCGAACCTGAAGTTGACAAAACTGAAAATGAAGAAAAATAAACTCTAGGAGAAATTAATTAAAGTCAATACATTTCCTAATAATTATGGCAGAGAGAAATAAAAGCAATAACGAAGTAACAATGGAACCCTGAAGGACTCTCAACCCAGTTCGCGCATTTTAGACAAGCTTCTAGTTGTATTGAAAAAGGAACGATTTAATTGAAATCAATAATAATATTCCCTAATTATAAAAACTAAAATCAACGCAAAATTTATATGAAAATTAAATTGAAAATTAAATTTGAATTCAAATCCAAGTCAAATGGAGTATAACACAAACGAAAAATCATGTCAAAATAAAGTTAAGCCAAGTAGAACTTAAGACAATGCCAGCCAAAGTAATGTCAACCCAAGTAAAAATGAAGTCATGTTATGTCAAAACGAATTCAAGCCAAGTCAAAATGAAAATGAACCTTAAAATGAAATTAACCCAAGATATAATAAGGCTATCCTAATTAAAAAAAATTCAGCTTATGCAAAAATAAAATCATGTTAGAATTAAGTTAGCTGAAGTTTGAAATTAATATTAGGTAAAGTTAAATCAATTTAGGTAAGAATAAAATTAATCCTAGTTGAAAGGATTTCAACGGAAGTAAAAATGAAGTCGACTCAATATGAAATCAAGTCGACACAATATAAAATGTTGTTAAAATCAAGGTCAACACAAATCAAAATGGGGTTGACCCAACTCAAAATAAATTCAACCCATGTCAAAATAAAATCGATAAATAGATATTAAATTAACCTAATTCAAAGTTAAATCAACCTGGGTGAAAATGAATGTGTAGTCAAAATGATGTCAGTTCATATTACAATGATGGTGACAAGACAAAATAATATGTTGTTGATGCTGACTCATAGGATGACCTGCAAAAACAACTACACAGGTTTTATCAAGCGAGTGAAGTTTTAAACATAGCTTTCTCTACTTCAAAAACTGAATACATGGTGGTAGCAAGGAACCCAACAAGATGGTAATCAATAACAAGTCCGTTGTACAAACCATGGAATTTTATTACTTGGGTGTGGACATTTCAAGTACGTGCGATAGTGTAAAGGACCTGAGATGTCAGATTAACAAACCGTTCGTAATTTCAGGCTGCCTACGAGATACAGTTTGGTCGAAGATGAATTGTAATGGTAGGCTATACAAGCCTTGCATCTGCCCAAAATTGAAATACGTGAAGACACAAAAAAACTAACAGCATGTTAAGAGTATCAAAAATGAATACCTTGAGAACAATCTCATGAAAGACCAGATGGGACAGAATTAAGAACTCCGACATCAAAGACCAATATGATTTTTTGAGATCTTTGAGATCGGCTCCCATTTTAGTTCCAGACTTGAACTCTTCACATCTATGTTCTTCATAATACGCTGCTATACTGTTTTGTAATTTTTATATTCCGTAACAATCTAAACGTCCTTCCAAATATATAGGCACTTTTTTGAACGAAATAATAACTCAAATCAAAAACGATATAAATAAGTAGATATTATGATAAATACTAAATCAACTTATTTTCTCTTTAGATTGAATTTATTTTCTAATAAAATGTATTCTCAATCCATAGAGAACTCAATAAGTTCTTGAAAGTCACGTCTATTACACACATAAGAGGTTCTAAGAACTCCCGAAAAGAAGTAAAAGAAGTCCGTTTGGACATGAAAAGGCAATCAACGAAGAGCGGTGGCCGGTTTTCAACCGCAGAAGTAGAGACGATTGATATTCGACGTATAAAGATGTCAAATGTCACATGTCCGGAGCGATATGTCGATTTATGACGCGAGGACGCGGCCGGACGCCCAAATGGAATTGAAAATGGTGTCCGGGAATGTGGTCATGAAACCGATATGAACCGTCAGGCAAGTTCCTAAGGCAATAAAACCGTTCTGAATGCGTTTCATCGGATTCCATATTTTATGCAACTCCATATCCGGGAAACAAAATAAATAAACTCAAATAAAAAAAATGAATTGGTTTAAAGTTGGAGTTAAAAAGAAAATATGCGGTAGAGTTGAGAAAATATGACGTAAAGAGGCGGCTGTTTACATTCCTTATGTGTCTTCTTATTCACCTACTTCAGTTGAGAGACTATAAAACGTCCATCTAGAAATGCTACCGCGAAAGTACCTACGAGGAGAAAAGGTACGTGATCTGTCACTGTCACGGGTGAGCTTAGAATGAGGAGGTGTTTCTTCTCGTTCCGAGAAAGGCGCGCGTTCAATTCGGGAAAACATGAAGGATTGCCAGCGGAATTTCCGCCCTTCAGTCGATTAGCATAAATTTAAACTTACCGGCCGTGATGGGGACCCACATTGCTACTGTCGAACGATGAACTTGCCGTTATATCCTCGTCTTTTATGGAACCATTTTCCATACCCAAAGGAGCGATACATTGAGCTATAATAAAAACAATTTAATATTTAATTTTATATCAGTAAATAAAACAAAATAAACAAAATAAAAAATTAAAAAGTAGATTGTTTACTTTGTTTTAATAATCAATTTTAGGCGATATTAAAAATTTTAGATTCATTTTCAAAATCAGTATTTCTGTGAGAATTGTTTATTTAAATTAATTAAATAAATAATCCTGAATAATAAATAGATTGGGTTATTCGTGTTAAATTAAATATTATTGAAACGTTCGGATTTTATTAATTTTTTTTACAATAGGTTATAATTGCTATTTGATTCAAACAAAAAATGTATGTAAATATGGATGCTGTGTGGAATAAGAACAATTTGTGGAAAAGTAGAAATGATGGGTTGGAAAGAAAGTGAAAAACAACTTTGGATAAAATCATGTCAATATGAAGCCATCACCAGGTCAATTAATACTGAGAGAAGGTGGAATAGAACTAATGAAATAATATAAATCTGCTCTTTAACAACATTACCTAAAAATACAAGTATGTACGTAAATTATAAGTATGCGGTAATTTTATAATTATTTCTTTTTATATTTCAGGTAGTAAATTCCAATTTGATTTCGTTAAAATCAATGAGGTAATTAACATTTTGTTTGCTCCACCCATGCATAAAGTATCAGGTTTTTCAATAAAGACACCATAACTTTGTATATAAATAAACAGAATAATTGAGATATTGAGCTAGAATTTATTCCAGGTGCTGTACACCACCTGCTCTTACCATGGAATTCGTTATCGATCATATTAGCACCGCGAGCACGTTTGCAGCGAACGATTCCTTGGACCTAATTTTGCACCACTCTTTCACACATATTGGTGAAACCATGGCAATTTCATGTTCGATATTGTCCCTGAATTCCTTTAATATTGTTGGCTTGTTGGCGTAAACCAACTACTTAACGTATTTTTTGAGATTACGTGGTTATTGAACTTCCTCTTCAATAGATTAATTCTTTGGTCAGCTGTGTCAACATCAGCTGTGGTTCCACAGTGTTGGTCACTAATATCAAGTCCATCCAATTCTGGCAAAAAATAGTCTTCCAACATGGCAACATAGCGAATTCCATTCATAGTGATAATACGTGAACAGCGTGAATACGAGCTATAACATCTTTAATATTTGTAATTGGTTTGCGGTAAACCTGTTTAAAAAAAAACCCTAAAAAAGAAATCCAGTGGACTCAAATCCGGGAACTTAGGAGGCTATAGTGTAGGTATACCTCTTTCAATCTATCATATTAGAACCAATAGTTGAATTTGCAATGGAATATCATCTAGTAATGATAGTAACAAATAATTATCACTAAAAATTGAAGATACAAGTTTGAAATAAGTCGGTCATGTAGAATGTGTGGACCAACGATGTTGATGTTTAATAATCTAGTCCAAATGCTTATTGACCATAGTCTTTGGGGTGACGTTTTGGGTATTAAATGGGGGTTTTCATCTCTCCATTTATGCAAGTTATGACTATTTAGGATACCAGTCTGAGTAAATATGGATTCATAACTCCAGAGAATGTTTTTAATAAAATGTGGATCATTATTTACGAAATACATTAACTACTACAAAACCTGACTCAAAACTCTTTGTCTCCATCATGTAGATCTCGAAGTTTTTGAAGTCTCTTCAATACAAATATGATTATTGAATTCTCTTCAATAATCATGAATTGAATCTTTTTGGAATAATTCATTGTGTCTCAACAAATTCAAAAATTTGTTCTTCTTGATCGGCGATTAGTGTAGGATGGCGTCCTCTCTTATTCCTACGGGAATTAAAATTACCAGTTCCTACTAATCTTTGCTCTACCTGTCTTATGGCTTTTTCATCATTATGTCCACGATTTGAAATCATTTTACAGATGACAAATTGCTCCATTTGAAGTACACAGTGTAAGTAAAGAAATAAGGACTGATCTTAAGCATTGCAAAATTTGTAACTAACTCTCTTTCGTAATGAGCTTCTATATATTTAATATTGACATCTCTAGAATAAAGACTAGTTCTTCTCCACTTTTGAATAGCTTGTTTCTTTGCATAAAAAGCTCAATTGACATTGTTGTGTTGGGATAACATGAGAATTTTATCTACGCTTGGTAATCGCTCTCTTATATTTGGAAGAGCCAATTCTTTACCAAATGATTTTAAAAGTATTCGTTTTTTATAATTGTAAGTTTTCTACTTATCTATATTTTTAGTATAAGCAATAAATGCATTCAAATATTATGACGAGTACAAGATGTACAGCTGATTCTAGTGACATGATACCTATTGATCGTAACATTCAGATATAGATAGAACATAAACCTGCTCTTTTTGCGAATATATGACATTATCACAATGTTTTGCAAAAACGCAATCTATAATGGATTCTTATTTCTCTTTTCCAATACATATAGGTTTTGTGGAGCGTCTGGTTTATTTTTCAACACAATTCCAAGAAGAATAATTTGCTAAATTAAGTAAGTAAAAACTTTGCAAAAGATGGTTGTAAAGAAATTACCTGTTATCACTCTTCGACCAGTTTTATAAAGAGTATTCATGAGGTCTTTCCCCACACGTTCACTTTGTAATTTTTCAGACTGACCCATAAATGGGTTTCCTGCGTAAATTTGCATGTTGAAAAAGTACGATGTCTTTACGTCTACGAGATCCCAAATTTTTATTCCATATCGAGCTGACTTTGACTTATATAAATAAAAGATTATTGTAAGTTGTTCACGAATTTATATAATTGATTAATTTAATTTCTCTTTTCTTGAATTTTTTTTATGATTATATTATTTATATTGTAGCTTCTTAATTGAAAGTAATAAATTCCGACGACCAATTCATTTTGAGAGAACCGATTTAGAATGCCATATCTTCATTTTGCAGCAAACTGGAAGGATTTCTTCACATGTTCACTATTTACTTCTTGACACAAATATTGATCTGTGAAAACACCATCTTCGTTGATTTCTTCTCGGTCTTTATTCACCTCCTCTGGCATTATTTGGAAGTAGCTTTTGTGCTGAATTCTTTTTGCTAAAATCTTTGACTTTAAAGAACAACTAATTCCATTTAATGACCAAAATTCTGCTCGGAAGATTTTTCGTAAATAAAAAATGAGAAAATGTTGTTATAAAGAAGGGTGATAAAGAATGACATTCTAATATATTTTCACAAATGTGTGTGAAATAAAGAGTTTTATTAAATAACTATTTATGTACTAACCTAACATTAAATGTTTTGCTCTATTTTAACAACACGTATTATTAATCCTTTTTATTTGTTTAAGGTTAAGGCCGTATAGAACGTGTTTATGGTCAACAAAAAATTGAATTTCTACTACTATGCGTCGACAAAAAGGAATCACAAGTCAAAGATCTCCAACGTATAAAATGTAATCCCTCAGGGACTATAGAATACTAAATTAATTATTATGATGAATGGACTATAAGTGTGAATAAGAAAAATATTGATGACATGCAACAAATTCCAATCTATACATATAAGGAGACGTTAAAGAATTATTATTATTGAGAAAAGAAGAATTTTACATTAAGATTAAGATCTATTTTATAAATAGTTAAGGCATAATATTATTTTAAAATTAAATTATAATTATTAATATGCCAAATAGAATAGATTTAATATACGAAAATAACATAGGATGTGAATTTTTGATTTCTCACTTTTGAATGATATTGTACACAATTTAAAATTCCATAAATATATCCGAAACTTGATTAAATATAGATTCCCCTCCTGTTAAACATGTCAGAAATTTTCCACGTAATATTAACAAAGTTGAGCGTTCAGATTAATTGGTAATAATTCCATCGGCGGTAGTTTTTGATCGATGGAAATTATTCATGACCCTGCTTCGTTGCCCAGTAATTTCTGTATTAATAATGGATAGGGGAGAGAGAGAATCGAAATTCCCTAGACTACCGACAACATCCCTCCTCCCCTTTTGTGCAAATGTACCTATTCCAGCAATTACCTAGTTTGAACCGTAACTATCGACTCTTGTGTACTTACAAGGATCCACGGACGCGTTCTCCCAAACCGAAACCAGAAGGATCAGCGTCAGGATAATTATGTTCATTGTTGAACTGTAGAGGAGGTTTACTTTTGTACCTCTCTCCTGATCGTTTATTGCGTTTCAAGCCATCTGTAACAAATAAGTCAATAAATTATTATTTGTATTTAAATTGTGTAGTTTTATTTTTTAAATTAATTCAAGTTCATGATCGGTATTTTCAACGTTGGATAGCGTGCAAAAGAAAAATCAATCTACACCCCGGACCGAATTGTGTATGAGATTACAGTCGACCGTATCCGATGTCTGTCTGTTGCTAATCCGAAATAATCCGCCCTTATTCTTATAAACCCTAGGGCGAATAAGTAAGGTTTCCTGTGGACGATGCCGCGACGTCACCCTACGTCTTTCCCCGAAGTTCATTAATATTAACCGCGTTGGCTTAGGGAAGACGCGCCACACGTCAATAGCTTGGGATACCCGGTCAATAGGATTAGGGTAATGCGAAATAGCGTTTCTTGTGGTTAAGTCAATTGTTGTGGAGGAACGGTTCGCTTAACTGCACCCTGTTTCCATTAGCATGTTATCCTAAGGGCGAGGAATGTATTACATGATTTAAAATTCTTTAAAACAAAGTTTAAGAATAAAAAAAATTATCTTTTAAAATTTAAAATTTATAATATAGCAATAATGATTTAAAATTATGCAACATGGTATCTTTTTTATCAACAGTGCTGCTCTCTACTGGCATTACATATTATCAGTTAATGTTCAACTGATAGTTATGAGAAGTACTACTGTAGTGATAAACGAAGAAGTTATTAAGGATGAGCTCAAATTTATTATCGTTTGCAACGCCAAAATTATACTTGGTGTTGACCATAATTTTAATCGTGGTACTATTTTGGATAGCAAGTCGATTCGGATTCATTAACATGAAACCATTAATTGGAAATATTACGAGATTTTTTGCACCATCATTCATCCCGGAAGGCCCGGAAGCCGAAGTGAGTGTAACACAATAACAATGGCTACCTGCTCTTAAAAATATCATCACCAAAGAATTTGTTCTATTCCCATTTAAATAGATTTCAAATATAGGTATATTAAAACATTTTAAACAAAATCACTTAAAAGGTTATGTTATGACATACATATGTATAATATCTTATTATATTATTATTATTTTTTACACCATCATTTACCCCGGAGGCCGAAATAAGTGTAAAACAATCAAAATGGCTACCTGCTCTCAAAAATATCATCATCACAGAATTGATGTGTTCTATTCCCATTTTAAATAGATTTAAAATATATATTAAAAACGTTAAACAAAATCACTTAAAAGGTTATGTTATGACATATATAATCTTTTATGTTTATCTTGTTTTATCACCTTTTCAGCTGTTTACAGACATTTAACATTAAACCAATTTTGATCTCTATTCTAATTGTTTTATGAAATACTGTTTAAAATTGTTTCGATATTGATTTGTTCTTCTGGTTTAACGCAAATTTAAGGTAATTTAAGGTCATTCTAAGAAGGTTTCTTGACAACGTATTAGATATCTACTTAAATCAACGAGGCGGTGATCTATGGAGTATATGGAGACGTTACATATAGAGGAAGAGATTACCCAAAATCAGCAACTAAATCAACAAGGCAAGATCTGAGTGGTAATGGAGAAGAATTCAAAATATCGTTATGAAGAATTACAATTAGAATTTATATTTCAATAATCTCTATTCTGAATTACGAATACAAAAAGTTTCATTTTAAAATTTAGCAGAAGATTGTAGTACTCTAGTTGTAACAAAGCGATCATATCCGATGCTTCGCATTGATTAAACATTTAAAAAATAAAATTATCACTGCAACGTAAGGACAACAACAAAAATACCCAATAAAAGTTCTTTAAATCAATGAATTTAACTTATTTAATCTGCATCAAGTTTTTGAAGTTATCAAATCTCCATTATGCCTTTGACTTGATAAATATGCATTATGCCCGATCAACTCTACTTTTTGTCTCTATTATTCCATTATTTTATACAATGGCATATAAAATCCATATATGTTTTCATTATATTTCTGACATGTCAAGTCTGGTAAGTTCAAGTCTTATTAAGTTTGTATCAAATCTTTGAAATTTGGATTAAATCTTCAATATGGTCCAGTATCCAACCTCTATAAAGATTAACTCCTCATCAGCCTGCATTAAAACCGCTATGTATAAAGTTTTACAATTCTCATTAATTTTTCATTTAAATAATTAAATCTAGAAACGGTATCAAGAGAATTAGACTTAATTAAAATATAACAAAACCAAGTTTCCAAATATCACATAAATCATGAAAATATTCAATACGTTTTGGAAAGATGTACCAGCAATTAAATTTAACAATTTAAAAAATGCAGCATATCGTCTTCATATTTCCCTCATGTCAAATTTGTACAGAATCAATTTTCTATTACATCTGCATCAAATTTGCATCTATGAGTGCATAAACACTGTTTCAAGATTCTATAAAATTCATGTATACTGCTTTAAATTTCCATTCTACATCTAGATGAACTCGTATAAAGACTATATCATCCAAGCATCAAGTCCTCAGCGCGTTCCTAAAGCGCATCAAATCTCCTTACAGCCTTCATTAAATCTACAAGTTTTTCAATTTTGCATCATAACTCCATTATACCTCTGACTGAGTAGAAACATCATACCTTGCTACAACCTTCTTTAAATGTTTATTACCGTTTCATCATAGCTCCGCCACGTCTGCACCAAGACAATTTTGTATAAAGTTCAATTCATCTCTGCGTCATGCCTTCATATTTTTCTTTTAAGTCAAGTCTATATAGAATCAAGGATTCATCAAACCTATATCAATATTCCATCATATCTCCCGGGTGTATAACAGAACTGCATCTAAGAGTGTATCATGATGTCATCAAAACCGCATCAAGTTTCCATACAGCCTTCATTAATTGTACATTAAGCTTTTAAAATCAGCATCATAACATCTCTATTATATCTATGACTGAATACGTACACTATGCTTTGATGAAGCCTACTTTAAATGTCTATTATGCTTTTATCAAGCTTTCACCACATCTGCATCTCACAACTCAACAAATCTTCTCTGCGTCAATTCTTCATATTTTTCCTGTAAGTCTGCATAGTATTAAAACTCCATCAAGATTATATTAACGCTTCATTATGTCTTTATCGGGTTTGCATCAAAACTTCATCCAGAAGTGTATTATAGCCTTCAAAACCGCATAAAAACGTCACACTCTCTTCATTAAGCTGCATCAAGTTTTTGAAGTCAGCATCAAATCTCCAGTACACCACTGACTCAATAGATACATTATGACTCAATCAAGTCTACTTTAAATTCAAACTACTCCGGTTAAAGTCCACATCATCTCTTCATCAAGTCTTAACCATGTTTTTATTGTGTCTGATCTGTTAAAAGTCAAGAACCCGTTAAATTTGCATCAAAACTGTATGTTATTCCTATTGGGTATGCATCAAACCTACATATAGCTCTATATCAACATTCCTTCAAAATCTCACTCCTTATTATATCACTCCTTATTTAATCTGTGTCTAGTTTTTGGTGTCTGCTTCAAATCTCCAGTATGCGTCAGACTGGATACATGCATTATGACTTGATCAAATTTACTTTAAGTTTCCATCACGCATCCGTCAAGTCTTTATCCAATTTGCATTCAAATGGAGTTGTTTGATGCTGATGTTCATGTCTTCCCTTCATCAAGTCTTTACAATGTATCTATTATGTCAGATCTGTATAAAGTCAAGAATCCATTAAATCTGCGTCTAGTCTTCATCACGAGTGAATTGATGTGTATCAGGACTCTTTAATATCCAATTATTAATGTTATTTAATCTGTATCAAGTTTTTGAAGTTATTAAATTAAGCTTTTCATTTGATAGATATGCATTATCTTCGATCAAGTCTACTTGATATCTCTCTTTTCTGTTTTTATCATGTTTCTGACACAACAAGTGTGTGTAGAGTAATAATACGAACATTAATACAGTGATTTGGCATACGTGTGCACGCCATTACTTTTGTTTTATTTATGTTTACTTTAAATCCTAGAGTATCTCATCCTTAGTCACGGACATTCAAAATTCGTTGCAATCTCTCTGCACTGCTCACAATAATGGCTGTGTCGTCTGCGTATCTTAAGTTGTTTACATATTCTCCGCTGACTTTGATTTCTTGAGGGCATTTTGAAACATTTTTTTAGAGTATATATTGAATAATAATGTCTGTTATCACTACAACCTGGGTATTAATGCTCTCACCACTATATAAACCTATTAGGTCAACTGACTGATAACAATTCTACCAGATGTCAGAATGACGCAATTTTGCGCATTCCAAAATAAAACAATTTTTTACATAGAGTGATGATTACACTTAATGAGAGGAAGACTTACAGAAATAACGAAGGTACACGTCATATCAAACGACGAAAACAGAAAAATGATAGAATACATAAAAAAATTGCTACCCATGTCAACTATGTAAAATATATAAAGTTATTATACCTATATTATCATTTAAAGCATTAAGTAAGAATAAATAAGAAGTGGTATTATTTTCTACATATACATTGTTATAATATAATAAAGTTTAAAGTACAATTTGTTTTGTTAGAGATAAAATGTTATAATTCTGACGTGATGATATATGTTTCTTTTTAAAATTTTAGTTTTATAATCCTATTAATTGAATGATGTTGTTTGTATTTTAGAATCTAGATCATAATCACTGACATCCAGAGTTACCAACGAAGTATATTAGAAGACTTTGGCAAAACACGACTGATATCGATTACCATGTTCGCAATGGGAGTATGTCAAAAGGCTAATGAACAAACTCAAAATTCGAAGCAACTCAGCTTATAATTTTGCTCATATTTATTTTGAATTAATTTATTTTAATATTATGAATATAGGGAATTAGGAAAACCAAGCAGTGCATTTTGTATACTATTAGTAGTTTGCAGCTAGCAAAATGTATACACTCTCTGCATCTGTTCCTTTTTTTACTATAGATTTTCTGTTTGGTTTCTTAAAATATTTGTTTAATTAAATTTGAGTACTAGTATTATGTAAGTATTGTTGTTTGTAGTTAGATTTAGTATTAGTTCTACTTGCATTATTGTTACTCTTTTATCTCAAACCAAAATTATTTGAAAACTTTGTCCAAATCGTTTTTAGGTACCACTTTTTGCATAATCACAAACAGGGTTTGAGGCTCTATTTACCGTGAATCTTATATGCGTTTCAAAGCAATCAATAATAGTCATTGTAGATAGTGTAATTGAACGCCTAAACTTAGTAAATGGAGTATGTATTAAAACAGTAATGGGTAGCTCTCAATCGAATGTAAATTTCGTCAATTAAATTATGTTAAGCTCCAGGAAGAGAAGAGCTTAAATATCTATTGTTTCCAAGAGGATAATTTAGAAACAGCGCAATAATATAATATGTTGAGTTTCTTATACTAGACTAATTGATATTTCAGCAAATCTCAAAAATCTGTAGTTATTACATTTAAAACCTCCTTTGTAGTGATGTATGTATCATTTGTTTATTTGGTTTAACTTTAACAATGAATAACGAACAAAATAATAAACAATTTTTTAATGAAAGTTTGAAATATATAATTTTTATATTTCAACACGACTTTTCTTATACACGCAATAACTTACAGAAAAAAAATAAAGTTTAAATCAGAGTATGAATCAGAAAACGTTTTTTTTGGTATTTAAGAACCTGCATGTTATTTCCCATACAGTTTTACTTAACTTATTACTTTGTAGTTTACATTATCAGATTTTTAAAATGAAAAGTTTTATTTCGCTGTGTCCAACGCACAAGCGTACATTGAGTATGGCTGCCTTAATTTGCCTCGTGTTCATGGATGTATACAAACGATATGGTAAGATCAAAGCGATACAATTAGAATGTTTGTCAACAAATGTTTACACTATGCTAGTAATGTTGTAGCAGTATAACAAACTAAAATGGCGCCAAATAAGCTGATGTGCAAATACAATTAATTAAATTAGAAGCTGTTCTACAGTTCTTAGCTACTAACGAAAGCTATTCCATTTCTTTCTTTCTTCTACGTAATTACAAAGTGTTAATGAAGGTTAACCCAAGGTTTCATGTTACATCTAAAAGAAAGTATGTTATATGTAGCTGATGCGAATCTAACATTGTAAAGTAAAGTGAAATGGTTATGGAAGTCTAAGTTTGATTTTCAGCATGCTGATGTATTTGTTGACAAAGTTGACAAGCTTGCAAGTGAGACATCACTAAGGAGAAGGCAGAGCTGAAACAAATACATGAATTGATGTGGCAATACTAAAGTTGCTTCCTGGTTAGTAAGGGGGAAGTAGACGAACAAATATTATGTGCCATAAAATTGTGATCGGATAATCAAGACTAATTCGGTAGCAATTTAGATCGCAGGGACCACAGAAATCTCCTTTGGCGGAGGGGGAAGAAGACAAAAGAATTATTTACAACATGAATAAGAAGTATCATCAAACAATCTAGTGGTTTATGGGTATTGGAACCAGGTGTTTTGGAATTAAACACGATGGGTCAAACATGGATTAAATATGATGGGCAACTCACGGTTATGCTTATTGGATTATGCAGCTTTCTAGCTTGCAACCTTTGAGCGATTAATCAAAACCTTCCTAAGAAGCTTTACCTGGAACTTTTGTCTAGTATATTTAGATGACGTAATCATGATCAGTCCTTTCATATCCTTTCGTGAGCATTTGAGATGATAAAGTCTAAAATAACTTACTGTAGAACAATTTTATTTGCAATAAATTATTTTATATACTTACTACATCTTACCTTTACACTAAGTTTCTGCATTACTAAACAAAAAGAAGGAAGATGAAGAAGACGCAAGGTATCAACTTAGAACATTAAACTTAAACCTTAAAATATGTCTATAGCAAGCAAAAGATTTAGTTTTATACCGACGACCTGAAGACGGAGAAAATTCAAAATCAGGGAAGTTCTTACTAAGAATTTATTATTTTCGTAACCGAAAGGAAAGCCAGTCATCATGTTAATAGCATTTATGTATTTTATATATAATATAAAATTAATGTATTTGTTGAAACACTACACCCAAGAAACGAACTGATCAATGAACTCTTTTTAAACACTCCAGCACACTCGAAATGAGCGGGGTTCATTGATGTTTTTTCGACATTTAATAACATAAATATGAAACTGTAATTTCATATTTTCTGACTGCCTAAATATGTCATTAGCCATGTTATATTGGGCATTGAATTTGTCCCATTCAAGTTAAATGCCATTAAATTAATTCTATACCTGAACTCAAATAAAGGTTTTGGCGCTTTTGAATTTTTAGGATAAATTCGACTACCAATAAAGAATTTTCAGTAAATTGATGGTAACATACAGCACGCTTGGAAAACTTGTACAGGGTTGCGTAATGCATATTAACGATTTTTTTAAACCCACTTTTTGAATATCAGTGAAGTGGAGGAGAGAATCAATGGTTTAATTATTCGTATTCAATGCAGTTTAGTAGCCATGGAGGTAACCATACGTGGCCAGTGAATCAACGTAGCTTTTGTATCGGAGTGTGTTATAGAAGTGCAATTATCGTTGCACTTCAATAACAGTGCAACACAATTTTGTTGGAGATACAAGGTTTCGTGATCATGGAAGTGTACGGAATGAATATGTTGGTTCTGTAAAAACTGTGGGTAACCAGAGAACGTAGAATGAGCACGAGAAGCAGTAGCAAGAATAATGTTTTAAATAATTTAGTAATGTATGATGAGACGCATTTCCATTTATGAGAATATGTGAATAAACAAAATATGCGGTACTAGGCTACCGAGCAACTGAAACAAATTCACGATCAACCTCTTTATTATGCGAAAGTTACCGTATGATGAGGTATGGCTACATTCGAAAAGCTACTTTTCCGAAATAAATAACCGAAATATAATGTTTTACCTGCTGATATGCGACGACTGAGGGTAGAAAATAATGACTTATGGTTCAAGAACGTTGAGGCAAATTTTGCATGGCTGCTCTAACAAACATGCTTCTCAAGAAATCTGATTTTTAGTAATTACTTCAACTATGTTTAGATACACGTGTTGGCCAAAATCATCGGTAATCTAAGTTAACATATGAGTGATTAATCTTTGTTTCAAATCACTTTTAATAATTCCTTGAAGGGCAACACTTTTTATAACACCAAGGTCATTAATATTTGTTTCCTGCCACACGCCATGTGCTATTTGGTCACATGCATTGTAGACTAAAGCCTCTATTCTCTCGTTTTTTGTATATTTACATTGTTTCAACACATTTTTTTAGCCTCGTGTGAATACTGATATGTAGCTTTGAGCAAAATAGTGAATCATGAAATGTACACAATCATATAAAACACCTTTGGAATAACATTCCATTTAACATTCCAAAAAATTGTTTTGTGCAACTTTTACACTTTTCTTGTTTTTTGATTTTGTAAAATTTCTTAAATAGCTATTATTGCTCATCAAATGGTTAGCAATCTACTAAAAATTTTACTAGTAATAAACCACCGGTTAAGTTATTATTTGTCAAAAAATGTCATTATGTACTAAAACGTTATCAAAAAAAGCAAATTATATTTATTTAATAAAACTGTCTAAATTTTAATTCCTCTCTAAAGAAAACGTACATTATTCCTTTATTTTCCATTTTGTTACAAAAAAGAAAATCTATTCAAACTAATTAAATTGCATTTACAAAATTATAAATTTTGCGCCATCAAGTTCACACCCCTTGATTACATTCTTATCTAAGAAGATACGACGTAGTGGTATACGAAGATTCTCGGGGCGGTCTCATTAAAATCCCATCAGAAAACGAGGCGACTCGTCGCGATACGACTCCACTGTAACAAGAAAAGAAACCAACGACGACGACGAGACACAAATTTACGAAACGGCCGAACACAGTGCGCGATATGGTCCATTTGCCAGGCGAGACTTTTCGCCTGGTGGAAAATTTTGAGAGATCCAAGCGAACGACCATTACACGGCCGTCGCAGGACATATCTTGAGCCAGCCAAATGGCAGGAAACGCAGTTATAAGGGCCAATATCACCCGAAAGTCAATAACGGTCAGTTTACACGTCTCAATATAAGGGCCCACTCGGGTCCGAAGACGTAATGAATAGTATCGATCCGCATGGGTAGTTGAAACCCTTACTTCGGACGACTATTAGGGAGTTCTGAAACCTTCGATGTCATTTCAGATTCGGTCACATGGAAGTGAATTGAGCGAACCACAAATGATGTAATTAACTTTGAAATTTTCAACTCAATAAATACATAATTTAAAATTTTGAATATGTAATTCTTTAAAGTTGATTTACGCAGAAATCCTTTTTGTTATTTAGACAATAAATAAAATTTTTAATGCAGTAAATTTCTTTGGATCAATAATAATAAACAACGCGATTCAAGTCTATATATGGCTAGTATTCTTAGGTTGAATTATTTTATGAGCCAGTGTGGGATAAAGATGAAATATACGAGCATGAAAAATACACACTTTGTGGACTAGTACTCGAGGTGCCATCTCGTAAATAGAACCCTTCACTTTATATTATGTATCGTTCCAAACACGTACAGCTGCATCCACTAAAAGTTTTCTCTCTATCATTTTCTGTGTTTTGCTTGTATTTTTGACTTAAAATTATAGCCACACAAATTTTTTTTTAATGTATTAACTAACAGTCCCATTTCTTGAGTCGTTCTGTTTCGATGTAAGTATAGGGTATGTAAACGTTTTGCATTCTGGCCAAAGTTTATAGTGTAGAAAATTGAATTTTTCAATTTGTACACTACGTGCCCTGGGCCGATAATAGATGACGCGTCGGTCGACGCTATAAAATAAGAGGGTGAAAATCGACTTTATAGAAAATGGAATGGCGAAATAGCGACCGTAAAACGAGAATGCTTGGGGAATAATGAGGTGTGTGTGCATGGGTAAACGGTTTGGAGTAAATATTGTACCAATCATGTTTTATGGTCCCTTTAAAAATTTGTTTTGTCACTTAACAATTTATAAATTAAAAAAACGATTCTTGTCTATAAATTTGAATTGAATTCGTTGTTATGTAGCTGCAGCTGTCTGATGAGACTAACTCTCAAAGACGCCATCGGAATATTCATCAAATCGTACAGACACCGAAAGGAAACAATGGCAGAGTAATTTCTTTGATAATGCCGAACGGGGTTGATTATTCTGGCGGCGCACGTGTGTCGCCACTCACTCAGACTGCGATCGATAAGTTTGCATGCAAAAATGCCATTACCGCTCTTGGGATGGTCGATACGACCAACTGGGGGTTCCGTCATCATGTTTATACCTTGTAATATCGATTTGTTTTTTAATCCTTCCCGTAGGGCCCAGACCAAACAAAAAAGATTAAATTTACTTTAAAACAATGTATCGGAACACCATTTTAGTATCAGTTTCTTGTACGGTGTCTACGTGATAGACGTGTAAAGCCATCTAGACGCCAATCGATATACCAAGACCGTGTCCGTATATCGTCATGCATATTTATCAAACGCGGTAAATTCAATATGTGTCCCTTGCAGCACCAAT